ATGCATATACATATATTCAGATGAAATATTGTATTTGTGATATTATTATTATTAATAATATCACAAGTGTAATATTAAATGATATAATATAGTTACATTTATATATCCATATTAATTTAATAATACATAATAATATTTAGTATAATAATATTATATAAGTTTAATAATTAATAATAAAGTATATGTTCAATGTATATACTGTATGTATATATATATATATATATATATATATATACACATATTTACAAAAATATATTAAATTATATCAAATTTAATATTACATTTGATATAGTATTGTTAATATTGTAATGATTACTATTATTGCTGCACATAATTTACGCAATGGTTTAGTCTGTTAGGCTTAAAGGGGTCATATGATGTTGCTAAAAAGAACATTATTTGGAACACACAGCGCCTGTGTGACATGGCGGCAGCAGCAACAACAAAACTACAGCGAGAATAAAAGTTACGCCTTCTTTCTTTGCGTGAACATTTGGGCGGCGTTATGCAAACCTTCCCAGATAGTGACGTAGGTATGTGGGGGCGTGTTAGAACGAGCCGTTTTAGGTAGGCGTGGCTGACTCTTTAAATTTTATAAAGAATATCTCTTTGGATTTGAGACTTTAGTCTTTGCAACTTTACAGATCTTCTTTATGCACCAAGAGCTTGTAACACTCCAAAGAGAAAGGAAAAATTTAAATCACATCATATAACCCCTTTAAATCACAGATAACTAGCATTAAACAACTGAAATAAGAAATGCAGATTATATATAGTCTATTTTGATTTTATGCAGAACAGACTAGAACACAAACAGTGTTAAACTATGTGCAAATTAGCTTACAAATCATTGTCATTCCACCGATGCTATTTCGAAGGGAGGTATGGTTAGGGTGTCTCTTAAAACGTTATATACAGTCACATACCCACACAATGCTCTGTGTTAGCTAAACATATTGTACAGTTGCCACCTATTAAAATTCCACAGCCTAACTTACAAGTCTTCAAAGCACGAGGAGCTAATGAAACAGAGCGCTTCCCAGGAAGGGAAGCTGTTTCTCATTACAAAGATAAAGAGAGAACAGAGGTGCTAAGAGGAAGAGTGTGAAAATAATGAGTGGCTGAGGGACAAGGAATACACCTGCCTCATTTATCTGGAATGAACACAGGCCAGACACTTACATAATCAACAGTCTGCCTTGAAGCATTAAAGAATCACCATGTGATTTAAGACTCAGAGCTTTGAGATGAAGAAACATCTCTCATTACTGAGTGATAATGGCCTGTAATACGGTTCAGTGGATCCACGACAGATTAGTAGTTTTGCTGTTTTTACAATCCGTCCGTTCGATTAAGAAACTTATGCTATTGTCATTTTGGGAGGCCTCGTGAGTTATGACATAAGGTTTGCTGCAACTACTTGCAATTTCTGTAAATCATTCAATCAAGGTGTTTTGGAGGTACGATAAGTGTAAATGTTTGGCTCTCGATGACATCCTTCTGATTCATTTGCGAAGTCAAAATGTTCTGATACCTCGATTTTAGCAAGGTTGCTGTGGTTACGTAACATTTCCCACAACATGGGAATGGGTCGTGTGTGAAGATGTCCTTCAGACGTGACTGTAATGTGAGTGCAAAATGTCAGACCCCCTGCTGAACTCTGAGGTCAAAGAACCCATACTGTCTTCTCCTTGAATAAACACTTTTGAAATGTTTTGTACTAAACACTTTTGGTGAAATAAGCTAAAATGCCCCACTATTTTGCTCTCTGTACTTCATATCAGTTCATCGTGGCATCACATATTTAGAGTCATAATCATAACTGTGTATGTGTGCAGTCCTATATCCTTTTATTCACTCATTTCATGGTACATGTGAGCTACATGTGGTTTAGGTGACAGGATGGACCTCATGTTCAGCACCTCGACCACCTACAGACCCCCTCCCCTCCCTATAGGCAGTTTTTTCCTCCCCTTTTTTGCGGAGTGAATAAGAAGGGAACCCAAAGACAGAGCGACTCAGAGTCGAAAAGACGCTCATCCACCCCCGCAATGCCCAGTAGTACCCCGAGCACCAACGGAATCATGCCTGAAGTAAAGAAGGCAGGTAAGGGCTGCTCTCATTGCTTCACCTATATCAGTTCATTATCATCAGAACAGGCTCACCTGTGTGCCAGGACGCTTTGTTGCTAAGATCTGTAACTTGCTACGAATGCATCACTGGCTATTGCTTTATATTTTTAAGAATTTGGCACTAGCAAATAAATGAGCAAAACTTCAGCATCTTTTAAAACAGTGCTTATGTATATGTACACAAACTTTCGCAAAGATGAACAAGGAAGGCGATAAAGGAAATTGCTAGAGAAAATTGACATAGTAATAATAATAAAATAGTACATAGAAAAAGAAAAAAAAAAAGTTGTCTGAGGAAAAGCCCTTGTAAACAAAGTCTGGTTATGTTATGTATGGTTAAGTATAGTTAGGTGGTTATGGTATTATTATATTTATTTAGATAAAAACAATAAGTCAAGGTAAAATGGAAATTAAAACAACTTAATTTTACCATTTTAATTTATTTCATAAATACCTTTTAAAGTCATGTATTTTATTTTATAAACATTTTATTTAAGTTTAGTTTTTGTAAATATTTTATTGTATGTATGTTATATGTATAAATATTTATATTATTCTCATTTTCATCTTGGTATATCACAAAATTTAAAAAAACACAGCAGCAATAGTACATGTGTGTGTGTGTGTGTGTACACTTAATACTTAATACCATACACTTTGTATACACTTTATACTTAACCATATTTTGGGGACAAATATGTACCCAGCAGTGTAAAAATCTTAGAAAATGTCCCAAAACCTCATTTTGGGGATGTTCTCAAAAAAAAAAAAAAGTGTAAGTGTAAAAATAAAGTAAATAAAGTATATATATATATATATATATATATATATATATATATATCTGTATTGTATATATATGTATTTCTCTCTG